ACTGAACTACAAGGCAGCAGTCGGGCACCACTATCTTACACACACACACACACACACACACACACACACACACACACACACACACACACACACACACATACATACACATATTCATTCATTCATGAGACGGAATGATCACTGGGCTGATCAGCCGTGGGATCCCAATAAGTCAGGAGCCAAGTAAGGGCCCCCCAATTTGTTTTGTTCGCAGTTCTATCTAAGAATGCTATCTCTTCCACCATATATATATATATATATATATATATATATATATATATATATATATATATATATATAATATATAAATATAAATATATATACATATATATATATATATATATATATATATATATATATATATATATATATATATATATTTATATATATATAAATATAAATATATATATATATATATATATATATATATATATATATATATATATATATATATATATATATATATATATATATATATATATATAAACATATATATAAAAGTTTGTACGTGTGTCCATATGTATAAAGAAGAGCAGCCGAAAGGCCGCCGCCGTGACCCGAGGCCCAAACGACACGGCGGAGACCCACAACACGCGCATCAATAACGCATCAATAACCTTTCGAGCAAGCAACCCTCCGGCATTATTCTTCCCTCTGGCCTCTTATCTCTTATCAGCAGCCTATCAAGTCCTCGTCGATCATTTCTGTGCCATGAAGCCGGATAACTTCCCTCCACCCTTTCGCGTCTCGCCAGTCGTATCTGCGAGACGATAGATTGCGCGAAAAAGGGATTGTCTGGGGTGATGGGGTGAGGGGGGGTGAGGGGGGGGTGAGGGGGGGGTGAGGGGTAGAGGGGGTAGGGGAGACGGCAGGGGGAAGGGGGAGGGGGTTGGAAAATTTCCACGCGAAAACTCATAATGGGGAGAGAAAGGGAGGGAAGGGAAGGAAGGGAGGGAAGGGAAAGGGAGGGAGAGTGGGTGAGGGAGGAGAGGAAGGAGGCTGAGGGAGAAAGGGAGGGGAAAGGAAGGGAAAAGGAAGGGAGGAGGGAGGGAAGGAGGTTGAGAGAAGGAGGAAGGGATGAAGGGAAAGGGAAGGAGGTAGGGGGGAGGAGGGGAGGAGGGAAGGAGGGAAGGAGAGAAGGAAGGAAGAAAGGAGAGGGATAGAAGGAGAGGGGGAGAGGAGGAGAGGGAAAGTGGAGGAAGAAGGAGGGAGAGGGAGGGTTTTTTGATAACAAGGAAGACACACACACACACACACGCACACACACACACACGCACACACACACACACACACACACACACACACACACACACACACACACACACACACATACACACACACACACACACACACACACACACACAGTACACTCGCATTTATTATTCTATCGTCTATTCTCCCTACGTTTTTATCTTCAACTTCTGCTTCTTTACAAAAAAAGGTAAATTATTCTCTCTTTCTATCTCTCTTTCTCTGTCTCTGTCTCCCTGTCTATCTGCGCGTGCGTGAGCGAAAAGTAGAAAGAAAAAAGAAGAGAGAAATAGAGGGTGGATTGAAAGAATTAGGGAGAAGGAAGGATAGATTAGAAATAAAAAATGCAATTTGGAATAAAGGAATGTAAGAAAGGGAAGGAGAAAAAATATTCCGCAATAGAAAAAAAAAACAGGAAAGAAAATGGTGTGAAGAAGTAGACGAAAATATATTTTTTTTTTTGAAAACTGAAGTAAGAGAAATTAGAATAAGAAGGTAAATAAAAGAAGTGAAATTAAAAAAGTGAGACAAAATATATAATGAATAGAAGAAAATGTTATAAATGGCATTAATGTATAATAATAATACGATATAAAAAGAGAAAATAAACTGAAGAAGAAAGAAAAAAAATATATTGAAGAAAAACGAGAATTGTTATTAAAAAATGAACGGAGAATGAAAATAAAAAGAATAATAAGAATAAGAATATAAAAATTAATAAGAGAATAAGAATAAAACGTAAAAACAGAATGAGAAAGAAAGAGAGAAAAAAAATAAATCATCAAGGAAATGGAAAACCAGCAGTATATGAAAAGACCTAGATTAAAATTTTGAAATGGAGGTCTAGATTTTTTTTTTTTTTTTGCAAAATTTGTCATGTCTCCGGGACAATACGCAGACTTTGAGTTGTTAAAATTAATGGAAAAGAACTTTCGCTTTGACATTCTCTTTGAATTCTCTCACTCTCTCTATTTCTCTCTTTCTCTGTCTCTGTCCGTCTATCTCTGTGTGTGTGTGTGTGTGTGTGTGTGCGATTGTGTGTGTGTGTGTGTGTGTGTGTGTGTGTGTGTGTGTGTGTGTGTGTGTGTGTGTGTGTGTGTGTGTGTGTGTGTGTGTGTGTGTGTGTGTCTGTACGTGCATGAGTATGTGAGTATGTGTGTTTATCTATCTGTCTATCTTTCTCTCTCTTTCTGTCTATCTCGTTAAGATTTCACTCGAAAGGAAAAAGAAGGAAAGAAAAAGAAGAAAGAAAATGACCAACAAAACAACAACAAACAACAACAACAACAAAAACACCATCAACAAAAACAAAATACGGTCTTCCCATCACACTCCCTCATTACATACAGGAAAATTAACCAGGCAGAAAATAACGTGCATATACTCATTGCGTCCCTAAGCATACGAGGCACAGGCAAGGAGCCAAAAATGTTCATCCTTCTATTAAAAACTGGAGCAATATCTCCATGACAACAAATATGACAATGAATGACAGATGGAAACAGTGATGAAGTTGGATATGCTAATGTTCGTTACTAACTTTAATCCGTATGTGATTTTTTTTTTTGTTTCATATTCCAAACTCGTGCAAGAGGAGAGAGCGAGAGAGAGAGAGATGGGAGGGAAGGAGAGAGAGAGCGGAAGAGAGGAGAAGAGGGAGGGGGGGGGGGAGAAAGGGAGGGAGGGAGAGGAGGAGAGAGAGCGGAAGAGAGGAGAAGAGGGAAGGAGGGAGAAAGGGAGGGAGGGAGGGGAGGAGGGAGGAAGGAAGGGAGGAAAGGAGGGAGGGAGAGGTAGGGAAAGGGAGGGAGGAAGGGAGGGAGGGGAGGAGAGGGAGAGCGGAAGAGAGGAGAAGAGGGAGGGAGGGAGAAAGGGAGGGAAGGAGGGGAGGAGGGAGAGCGGAAGAGAGGAGAAGAGGGAGGGAGGGAAGGAGGAAGAGAGGAAAGGAGGGAGGGAGAGGTAGGGAAAGGGAGGGAGAGGGAGGGAGAGGGATGGAGATGGAGGGAGGGAAAGGTAGGAAGAGGGAGGGAAGGAGAGGTAGGGAGAGGAAAGGAGGGAGGGAGACGGAAGGAGAAGAGGGGGAGGGAGGGAGGGAAGGGTGGGGGGAAAGGGCAAGGGGACGAGAGAGTGGGTGGAAGGGATGAAGGGGGAGGAAGGGAGGGAGGGAGAGAGTGAAAGAGAGCGTAGATAGATAGATGAATATATATATATATATATATATATATATATATATATATATATATATATATATATGTATATGTATATATATATATATATATATATATATATATATATATATATATATATATATATATATATACATATACATATATATATATATATATATATATATATATATATATATATATATATATATATATATATATATATATATATATGTATATATATATATATATATATATATATATATATATAGAGAGAGAGAGAGAGAGAGAGAGAGAGAGAGAGAGAGAGAGAGAGAGAGAGAGAGAGAGAGAGAGAGAGAGAGAGAGAGAGAGAGAGAGAGAGAGAGAGAGAGAGATTGCCGCGATAGCTCAGTGGTTAGAGCACTGGACTCTGACCCTCGTGGTCCCGAGTTCAATTCCCCGTCGCGGCGGTCGTAAAAATGCCTGCGCTCTGACTGCTCGCTCGAGCCCGAGAAAACGGCGTATCGCCTTGAGAAATCAAACGCAAGTGTCATAGGGGAAGTCACCGCCGTGGTACAACCGCGGTTGATTAGGAAGGGCATCCAATCAGGTAAGGGTGGCACTGTCATATAACCTCTCAATAGTGAATTGAGAGAGGCCTATGTCCTGCAGTGGAATGAATGGCTGTTAAAGAAGAAAGAAAGAAAAAAAAAATATATATAGAGAAAGAGAAAGAGAAAGAGAAAGAGAAAGAGAAAGAGAAAGAGAGAGAGAGAGAAAGGAACAGAAAAAGAGAAAAGAGAGACTGAAAAAACAAACAATCAAACAAAAGAAAAGGAAATTGGACAATGAGGAAATCAAACCCCCCATAAAGAAAGAAAGAAAGAAAAAAAAGTGAGAAAACAAGGTTAAATGTTTTTCTTCCCGGCGACAATTACAAATATGCAAAGCTATGTGACCACGGAGCTAGCTATGAATATGATAATTGTATAATAGCTTATCAAAAGGAGACACCGCAATCTCCATAGCGGCTCCACACTGACCAATCATGGCCTTGCATACATTTAGCGCGATCTCCGCCGACCAATCACAGTCTTGCATGCATTACGGTCAACGCCGTCCAATCACAAGCCTGCATATATCACCTGACCTTTGCTGACCTGCGATGGGATATTTGTGCATTTTCACCTTATTTATTAGAAGATAGACAGGTAGAGGAAGATAGATAGAGTACGATAGGTTAAGAACCAGAAAAGACAGATATATAGACAGATTGATAAATTGAATGATAGAAAGAGGAAACAGAGAGAGAATTTTGGAAGGAAAAGGGAAAAAAACAGAGTGAAAAAGAGTAAAAAGTAAAAAGAACAAGAAGTAAAGAATTAATGTAAGATAGATCGACTGAAATTATACAAAACGTACCGTCCAGTCGCAAGACAAACAAGAAGAGGAAGAAGAAGAAAAAGAAAAAGAAGAAAAGACGAAGACCAAGAAGAAGAACAAAAAGAGAAAGGCGACGCCGTAAAAGGAGACAAAAAAATAAGAAGAAAACGCCGAAAGAGAAGAAAAGAGAGAGAGAAAAAAAACAAAAAACAAAAGACAACTCACCCAGACAAATGACGATCTGCGAGCGCGGGGAGGTGTACGACGGCCTCTTGATAGACTTGATGCCTCGGTTGAAGATCCTCGAAATCCGATTCGTCTTGGTGAAGATGGCGGAGTAGCAGATGCAGAGTCCCAGGCCGAGTCCCACCCGCAGAAGGGCGCAGGTGGGCGTAGAGGGCGGGGCGAGGATAATGAACGTCATGAGGTAGCAGAGGGCGATGCCAAAGAGGAGGACGTAGCACAGTTCCCGCCCACTCGCCATGATCACGGGCGTCGTGTTGAACCGGATGAAGGTGATGGTGGTGAGGAGGGTGCACAGGAGGCCCAGGGCGCTGTAGGGGGAGGGGAGGGAGGGGAGGGAGGGAAGAGGGGGGGGGGAAGGAGGGAGTGGTTAGTATGCGAGTGTTATAGTAGGGGAAAGATATATTTTGATAAAGTTGTTTGTATTTGTACGTAATGGAAAGAAATATATGTGAAAACAAACACACACACACATATACATACATACACACAGATTCAAGTACACACATATACACAGACGCACACCTACAGGTGGACACACATAAAAATCTTGCACACATGAAAAATGTATAAAAGAAAGATATGTTGAAATTAAAACATTAACAACACAAAATATGACGAAGTATAAAAATAAGGCTATAAAAACACTAATGAAAATACGTCTTTCAGTAAGTTGTCAGTTCATTTCTCTAATGATGGTGATATTATTTTTTTTACTATATTAATTTTCATAATTGTGATGCATATTATTGACATCAATGTTAATATAATTAACATCATAATCGTCATCATTGTGACACACACACACTCACACACACACATAAATACACGCACACAAACACACACACATACACATACACACACACACACAAACACAAACACAAACACACACACACACACATACACACACACACACACACATAAACACATACACACAAACACACACACACACACACACACACACACACACACACACACACACACACACACACACACACACACACACACACACACACAGACACACACACACACACAAATATATATATATATAAATATATATATATATATATATATATATATATATATATATATATATATATATATATATATATATATATATATATATATATATAGGCAAAGGAAATACTCATCTCGAGAGTAAAAACCGAACGCAAAACGCGAGCCACAGCGAGGGAATGTTAGTCTACAGAACAACAAGACTTGGGAGAGAAGGGGAAGAGGTAACGGAGCGTGGGAATGGAAGGGAAGGAATAAAGAGGAAAGAGTGGAAGGGGAGAGAGAAAACGCTAAAAGGCGAGAAGAAGTAGGAAAAGGGGGAGATGAGTGAAAGAAGAAGTAAAATATCTGGAAGGAGGGAAATGGCAAGGAAAAGAGTGGAGAGAAAATAAGCGGAGAGAGAGGGGAGGAAGAGGGAGGGAGAAGAGAGAGAGAGAGAGAGAGAGAGAGAGAGAGAGAGAGAGAGAGAGAGAGAGAGAGAGAGAGAGAGAGAGAGAGAGAGAGAGAGAGAGAGAGAGAGAGAGAGAGAGGAGAGAGAGAGAGAGAGGGAGAAGAGAGAGGGGAGAGAGGAGAGAGAGAGGAGAGAGAGAGAGAGAGAGAGAGAGAGAGAGAGAGAGAGAGAGAGAGAGAGAGAGAGAGAGAGAGAGAGAGAGAGAGAGAGAGAGAGAGAGAGAGAGAAGATAGAGAGAGAGAGAGAGAGAGAGAGAGAGAGAGAGAGAGAGAGAGAGAAGAGAGAGAGAGAGAGAGAGAGAGAGAGAGAGAGAGAAAGAGAGAGAGAGAGAGAGAGAAAGAGAGAGAGAGAGCGAGATAAAGGGAGATACAAAAAGACAGAGAGAACGAGAGATACAAAAAGACAGAGAGAATGAGAGGTAGAGAAAGAGAGAAAGAGAAAAAAGAAAGGAAGGCAGATAGATAAACTGGTAGACAGACAGATAGATAACAGAGATAGATAGATAATAGATAGAACAGATAAATAAAGATAGATATGCAGGAAGAGGTACTGAACAAGAAGACGGACAGATAAATAGACAGACGGATAGATAGATTGATGAACAAACAAATAGGTAAAGAGAAAAGAAAACAGAAAAGTGTGATAAACAGGGAAACAAGGGAAACAAACAAAAAGAATGCCGAAAGAAGATGATACAGAAAACAAGAGTAAAGTAAAAAGGAATAAAAAGATAAAGGAATAAATATGAAGGTTAAAAAGAAAAAAAGAGAAAGGAAAAGGAAGGAGAGAGAGAATAAAGGAATAAGAACGAGTGAAAGGAAAGTAAAAATTAGCAAAGAGAGAAAGGAGAAAGAGGATAAAGGAATAGAAGCGGATGAAGAGGAAATAAAAAAATGAAAGAAAGGAGAAAGAGAATAAAATAATAAAAACGAGCGAAGAGAAAATTAAAAAAAGAAAGATAAGAGAAAGAGACTGAAGGATTAAAGATGAGCCAAGAGGAAAAAAAAAGAAAGGAAAGAGAATAAAATGATTAAAAAAAACGAGCGAAGAGAAAATAAAAAAGAAAGAAAGGAGAAAGAGAATAAAATAATTAAAAACGAGCGAAGAGAGAGGGAGAGAGAGGAAAAAATAAATAAAACGAAAGAAAGAAAAGAGAAAGACAACAAAGAAATAAAAGCGCGTAGAGAGAAAGTCTCGGAGGAATAAGTGACAACGAAATAGTCAAAATCGGTGAAAATCTTTCCGTGTTGGCAGCGCATTCAAGGCCTGCATCAAGATATCAATACTTTCCTCTTTTTGTTTTCTTTTTTTTCCCTCTTTTCCCTCTCTCTTTTCTTGTTTTCGTTATGTTTTTGTGTTTCTTTCGTTCTGTTTTTTTTTTTTTTTTTTTTTTTCTATTTTTTTTTTTTGGCTTTCTATTTTTTTTTTTATATCTATATATTTTATATATATATATATATATATATATATATATATATATATATATATATATATATATATATATATATATATATATATATATTTTTTTTTTTTTTTTTTTTTTTTTTTTTTTTTTTTTTTTTTTCTTTCTGTGTTTTCTCTTTCTCTCTTCGTGTCTCTCTCTCTATCACTGATTTTTTTTCTGCACACTCCTTCTCTTTCTTTCTATTTTGGTTGTCAGCACACACACACACAAACGCACGCACACAAACACATACATACACACACAAACACACACACACACACAAACACACATACAAAACACACACACCTTCCTTACACACACACGCACACAAACGCACATAATCTCTCATATCCTCTCCCATTTTAATATTCATTCACGTTCAAAAAAGAAGATATATAAAAAAGAAAGGACTCCAGTTAGGATTTTTTTTTCTCTTTTCTTCATCCCGACTTATATGACACTTGCAATATTAGTTTCAGCCTTCAAAGAAAACGAGGAGGAGAAAAATAAAAAAGGAGACATAGAAAACGGACCAAGTTTTGTTATGAATGAAAGAAAACAGGACTTTTTAGTAGAACGAAGATGAATTGACGTTAAATGAAAAGAAAGAAGAGGAGAAAGAAAAAAAAAAGTATTGAAATGTTAAGATAAAGTGATAATGTCAACGATTATGTTAATACATTTGATTATAATAATAATCCTTATGATATAATGGCAACAAGAATACTTCTATCATTACAACTAGCAAAAACAACAACAGTAGTAATAATAACAACAGTAAAGTATAATAATAATGACGATAATGATAATAATAACTAAGATGATGCTAATCATAATGGTAACAATGGCAATCATGAAAATAACAATGACGATAATAATAATAACAATAACAACAACAACAATAATAATAATATTGATACTACTACTGATAATGGTAATGATAATGGTAATAATAAAAATAAATTAATAATAAATGATAATGACACCAACAGTCACACACACACACACACACACACACACACACACACAAACACACACAAACAAACAAACACACACACACAAACAAACACAAACACACACAAACAAACAAACAAACACACACAAACAAACACACACACAAACAAACACACACACATACAAACACAAATACACACACACACACACACACACAAATCTCCACATACCTGAAGACCAGAGGCACGATGGCCCACGCAGAATCCCACGTGATATGCTCGGGGGAGAGCTTATAGCACGAGACCTTATCCGGCGTCGGAGCCCAGCCGAGGGCACAGGGTTGGCAGGTGTCGTTGTGAATGATCGAGTCCTCAGGGCACGGCACGCAGCTCCAGCAGCAGGAGTCCTGGGGGAGGGGGAAGGGGAGGGGGGAGGTGGCATAGGATGTGGGATTTAGGGAGGTGGGGGGTGGGAGGGGGGGTAAGTGAGAGGGGAGTGGGTGGGGTGGGGGGGGGTGATATGGGGAAGGGGGTTGGGTGGGGTGGGGGAGGGATAAGAGGGAAAGATTAGGGAGGTGGGGGAAAGGGGGGGGGGTGAGTGGAAGGGGAATGGGGGGGTGGGGTAGAGATATGAGGGGGAAGGAGGGAGGGGGGGAGATTGTAGGAAAAAGGGGGGGGAGTTGTAGGAAAGAGGGGGCGGGGAAGTTGATGGGATAATTGAGAAGGGAGGGATGTAGAGGAAGTAACAAATAAGATAAAGATAGGGAACAGGGAGATAAAAGATAAGATAAGACAATATAACGTGGAATTTGGATAGAAAAAAGAGGAGGAGGAGGAAGAGGTAATGATGAAAGGAGTGAAGGGTTAAGGAATTAGCGAATAGTTGAAAAAGGGTGAAGGGAATGAGAAAGAGAGAAAAGAGGAATGTAAGTAAAGAAAATGAAGATGGCAAGTGATAAATGGATTGGAGGATATGAAAGGAGGAGAGAAGTGAGGCAAAGATAGGAAAAAAGACGAAGATAAATATGGTAGGAGGGTGAAAAGGTTAATGTGGACGAAAGAAGGGAAGAAGATAGCAAAAAGAGAGAGAGAGAGAAAACAGAAAAAAAAAATGCGA